GGCTGGTCCTCTCAGTAGAAGAAGCTAATCACCAGCTTAGGTCCCTCCTTTGCCAAAACAAACAGCTTGCAGTTACTGGGAAGGAAAAGCGTCTGATCTCCAACCAGCGACCTAAGCGAGCCTATCAGCGCTTCCCTTCCAAGGTGAATTATATCCCATTAAGCAAGAATCTCTTAACACTAATAAAATTCTAGAACCCCAGGGCCCGCGGAGGCTGCCAGCAACCTGCTACTTATCTTCCGACAAGATGCCGTCGGTCTTCCGCGGCAGCCCCACGACGGGAAGAGCCGCGGACACCCTGTCCTTCCTGTACCAGCTCCACCCGGCCCCCCACGCCCCGCGGGCCTGAGCCCCCTCTGAGAAACCAGAGGCGGGAGTTCAGGTGCGCCCCTGCGAGTGCAGCGCCGCTCGCGTGAGGCTGCCGGCTTCCGCTCCTTGTTGCCGCTGTGCATGGCCTCCCCTGCCAACGTCCCAACAAGCCCAAGATAGGACCTCACTCTCGAGTGAAGTGACAGCCACCGACGGGCCTCTTCTCAGGCCTATTCTCCCTCTTCTCTCACCTTCTGGTGAGTTCGCCAAGTAGGCGTGGAGGGCGTGGTGCCCACGCCAGCCGAGGTCAGCACCTGTCACAGGCCGGCACAGGACACGCGGCACTCGGCGGGACCCCGGACCAAGGGGGCCTCGCCACTCCCCAGAGCTGTGTGCCCTTGACGTACCGCGGCCGGCGTGCGACCAGTGCACGCGGCCCACGCACTCAAGGGGACCTGCGCCTGGGCATTAACGCTCCAGGGCCGGACCACCGCACCGAAATCCTTACTGCCTGTACCCCTGAGTGTGCCCTCTGTATATGAAGTCTGAGGGGCTACTGGGAGACTGCCTGGAGGTCGGGGGCCACGGATCGCAGAGGACGCTGCCTCCCACCGCCCCTTGCGCCCCTGGAAGGTTCCCAGCCCCGCACGCCCGGGCACCCGGCACCCGGCACCCCAGTCCTCACGCAGCCGCTCCCGCCTCACGCCGGGCCCCAAACGACGGCCACCTCCTGTCCCCCAGGGACCTGGACAGAGGGTCAGGGCTGAGCATGCACACCCTGAGCGCCCCAGAAGTTGCTGGCGCTGCCCTCGTCCCAGGCTGCTGGGTGGCCAGCCAGAGCGCACCAGTCCACGGGGACAAGCCTGTGGCCCATCCTTCCTGCACTTCCCCGGCTGCCCCTGGCGGGGACGCTGCAGGGCACTAGGGGCTGCCTGGGTGCTGAGTTCAGCAGTAGAAAGGGCTCAACTTCTAGGGGCTCCTTCTAGGACAAAGTGCAACGCATCGGTCCAGCAGCCGGCAGAGCGGGACACCAGGCCAGCATCGTGCCTGAGCAAAAACACGTGTGCGCCAGGCCCCAGGTACCCACGAAGGTCTGCCTCCATGCGTCCTGCAAGGTCCCCTTCTCGGGCACCCACTGGACACACCCCACACCGCGGGGCACTGTGGGTCCTCTCTTCCCCCTTCCCACCTTGCCGAGGGTGGCGTCTGCTTGTCCTCCCAGCCACGTCAAGCCCCTCTGCCCCGGGAAGAGCCAGGACAGGCACGCCGCGCACAGCTGGGGCTGCTGCGTGCAAGGGAGGTGCTCCGATGCGCACAGGCAACGCGCGCACGGCGCAGGTGAGGAGCACCGGGAACGTCTCCCTGACAAAATCAGGCAGTCAGCCCTGCAGGAAACCCACCGACCGACAATAAACCCCTGAACGTCAACGCAAGCGCCCCGCCGGCAGCGGCCCTCCCTGGGAAGCCCATGCGCTGTGAGCTGCGGGACGAGCCCCTTCTCAGCAGCCCCTTCCCTTGTCAGCGGCAGCCGGATGCAAATGTCCCTGCCTCCTAGGGCTGTTGGGGGAACAGAGACACGACTCCCGACCCCCAGAACAGCGGTGGTCCTGAGGAACCTTCCGGTGGCGTCAGCCCTCTGTTACCCTCGCTCGCACGTGCCCAACACGTTCACGGTCACTGGGCGGCCCCTGGACCCAGGAGAGGCAGGCCGGCGCGGAAGGCGGCAGGCCCACGCCATCGCTCTGCACGGGGCAGAGCCCGACGCAGGGCGCCTGCCTGGCTCCACAGCCCCGGCCCTGCTCCGCGCCCGCAGCGCAGACCGCGGCCTCATTCCCCGACGCAGCATGACCTCCCACCCCCATCCGCTGGCAGCATGTCAACCACATGCGTGTGGAATGTGTGCGAACCTCACACGGCGGCCCGCCCCATGCCTGCGCTCGGCATCGCGGAGCGGGATGCCGGTCGCCTGGGAGGGGCCGCGGTGTCCTGTCTGGGTTCACGCGCGAGGACCACGTGCAGCCAGCAGGGCACGGTGCCGCTCAGAAGCCGTCTCCAGCTCCGTACGACATCCCAAGCTCCCCCAGGCCCAGGGGCTGTGCCGAGCCATCCAGGGACCCGCGGCCGCCGTTCCCAGCAGCACCCATGACTGTGAGTCCCCTCTGCTTCCAGGCAGGGCCGACAGCACCTGGTGGACAGGGGAAGCCCACCGTGCTCTGTGGTTCTGAAGGCACCAGGGGCGCCCCACCTACCCACGGACCTCTAGCTGCTAAAGGGCTGCCAGGCGGGCCTGCAGACGGCGAGGGCGTGGGCGGGAGAAACAGGCCTCCGGTCTCCCGGGCAGGCCGTGCAGCAGGGCGCTGCCCTTGCTGGCTGAGCCTGTCTCGCGCGGCGTGCACACGCTGGGTCGTCACTACCAGGCGAGTGCACGCCCGCGGCCGCCCCCGGCTGGAAGCCAGTGCGCTCGCTCCCAGGCGCAAGAAGACCGAGGGGCGGGGCGGGGGGCGGCGGGGACAGACAGGCAGCTGCCCCAGAAAGAGCCTGCGCCTGGGCTGCTTTGCACTAGTGAGGGGCGGGGGGCCCTGCTCGAAGGGGATCTCCCACAGCCTATTAATAAACACCACGGAGAGGCCTCCACGGCCTCCCAATTAGCTTTGAAAAAGGCGAAGGGAAAGGAAAGCTTGATGATGTACATGTGCTGCTGTCTTTTCCAATCTCCAGAAAGCCTTCATCGCTGCAATGTGGATACACCGGCCGGCATTCCAGGTTCGGGCTGCACCCCCGAGGGCGGCTGAGCCATTGATTGCAAAACCGGCAGTGATTAAGTCCTGACCGAGTAATTTGCGGCTTCCTTCACCCCAGCTAATTAAAATGTAATCAGGATTGTCTGCGATGTGTATTCTGTCAGCAGTTTTTCTTCCGAGGGGAAATCATGCCAACGGAGCACAAGAAAAGCCTTTCACGGGAACTGGCTGCATGGGAACCGCTGCTGAAACTGTAAAACAAATAAATCACAGCAACTGACAACTCAGTAAAAAGAAATGGAAAGAAAGAAAAAGATACTCTTTCTCCCCAGGAAGGGGCTGCCCTGTCGGTTGTGTTTTCTGTTGCTGAAACAGTGTAGCATCTCCTCCGGAGGGGGCGGCGGTGCCGGAGCCAGGTGGCCGGGCGGGAGCCCCCTCCCGGCGGCCGGCGGAACGTCACCGCGGGAGGCGAGCCCCGGGCGTCCCCTGCGCCGCGGCCCAGCAGGACCCAGGGAGGCCAAAGTCTCTGATACCGCGAGGCGTTGCTTCTCTGAGAACAAACCGAACCGCACGCTCAGGCAAGCTCCGTGCGCTGCTTCTGTCTCCTACAATCCCAGGATGGACATCTGCGCCTCCCCCGCCATACCCCACCCCCCCGCCCCCGGCCACCCCGAGATTCGTCCCAAACTCCACGGTCAGTACAGTCGCCTCCTCCCGCTGCTTCATTGCCAGGCCCCTTGGGAGGCCCCCTCTCCCACGGTCAGTGAACTTAAGGGCGGACGGCTCCTCTTAGAAACCCCCAAGGAGACCCCCCACCCCTCCCCGTCTCCTTCAGGCCTCCACCGCCGCGTCGCCTGCGGCGAGGAGTTGGGGCCTCACAACAGGTGAGCAGCGAAGGGTGCTGGCGAGGTCAGGGTGGGAACGAAGGCAGAGGACAGAAATGAGGCGCGGGCGAGGAGGATTTCACACTGCCCGCGCTCGGATCCCCTGGGGCACGCCGCTGCGCTCCACGAGGGTGCCGGTGAGGGGGCGGCTCCCGTGCGCCCCAGCGCCCCAGGTCCCGCGGGGGTCTCGGCCACTATGGACCCCTTCACAGGCGCCAAGCGCGCTTTCCCCTAAACCGCCTACACGCATCCTCGCCCACACGCGCGCGAGCGCGCTTAAGCTATGAGGGGGGGACTGATACTGACCCCAGGACCCCTCTCAGAGCATCCAAACACGACCCCCTGGTCCCTTAGCCCCTCCATCTCTTCCCTTACTCTCCACGCTATTCATTGGCAAGACCTTGAAGCTGTGGGGCTCCAAACTGGGGCGCGCACAGCCACCACCGCGCCCTGCGCCAGCACACGCACTCGGCAACACACGCCTTGGCCCTAGTGCCCTGCCTGGGGCTCGGGGGTTGGGCCGCCAGCTCCTGGGCCGCCCAGTGTGAACGCTTGGCTCAGCGGAGACAAAAAGTCTCGGCCCGCGGGCACCTGCGAGGCTGGGCACGTCGCTCGGGCCCCCGGGCGCAGCCGGACGCGCCTCCCCACCTCGTTTGCTGTGCCTGCGGCGCCAAGGACCCCGGAGCGCCTGGGAGTTCCCGGGAGTTCCCGGGACTCGCCACCAGCCCAGAGTCTCGCGCGCCGCAGTCTCGGGAAACTAACGAAGGCACACACCCACCCTTGGAATCCACAAGAGTGCACGCACTCCCTCCCTCAGCCCGCCGCCGGAGAGAAGGGAGTTCGGGGAACAGGCTGCAGCCTTCTTTTCCCTTTCGGGAGCAGGGAGCAGCCTGAAAAGGCGGGTTCGAGCACTCCGGCTGTAAAGTCCAAGCGGAAGGACAGCGGACCTGCCGGTCGCGCTGGGCGAGAAGTTTGGGCGCCGACGCTGGCGGGAGGCGCGCACCCCGGTGCGCCCCCTGCGCGGCCCGCAGAGCCCGGAGCTCCGGGTGCGCGGCGGTTCGCGTACCTGGAAGTGCTGGAAGAAGGCGGAGATGCGCGTGATCTGCAGGCTGAGGCACCTGGAGGCGCAGCGGGCGCGCTGGACGCTCCCGGCCGACAGCGACTCGTCCAGCCGCCGTGCTGCCGCGGCGCCGGGGCCGGCCGCCAGGCAGCCCCCGGCGGTCGCCAGCCAGAGGCAGAGGGTCAGGGCCGCGCCGGGTGCCCCGGGCACCATGGTTGCGGGTCGGGGGCGCGGGCGCCGGGCGCTGGCCGAGGCTCCCAGCTCCGCGCCGGGGCCGCACTGCCGGGGACCTCGCGATCGCTGCAACTCCGCTGGAAAGTTCAATCATTCAACTCCAGTCCCCGCGCTCCCTGCCGACCTCCCTCCCCGCGCGGCCTCGAGGGGTGGGGTGAGGGTGACAGGCGGCAGCGCCATTGGCTGGAAGGAAAGTGAGTGACAGGGAGGGCCGGGCCGGGAGCCGTGGGCAGGTCTTAGAGGTTTCGAGCCAGGGCGCTCCAGGGAAGGCGAGAGCGACCGGGTCCTCACGCGGGTCCCACGGCGCGCGCCTCTGCGGGAGGTCGGTCTCCCACGCAGGCTCCCCCCCCCCCAATCCGGGTCAACATCAGGTGTGAGCGCCCCTGGGTCTGGGCGGCAGGTGCTGCCCCGGGAAGGAAGGTCCCAGACCCCCAGGGCTTCGGGACTGAAGGCCTTCCTTCCCCAGCTCTGACCCCGGCCGAGCTGCGCTCCTGTGCCGGCACAGTTGGATGTCCCTCTCCCCGAGGAAACGGGCTCAGCAACAGAACGGAACACGCAGGCGGAGGGGCCAGCGGCCAGGTGTGAACGTGGACAGATTCTTTCTCCCCTCGCCCCCATTTCGACTTTCCGCCCCGCTTCCTTCTTTCTTTTTCCCTCCTTTCTTCCTCCCTCCTTTCTTCCTCCCTCCTTCCGTCTCAGGGGTACCTGAGGAACGACAGGAGGACAGCCCTGGCCTTTGTTAAATAGACCGCAGGCGTGTTCGCAGCAGGCAGTGCGCTCCCGCTCTGAGTCCTTCGAAAGGGCAGCCTCTCCCCAACTCCCTGCCCCGTGGACCTGAGCCTGGCCTCTGGGTTCACCTTCTGTGAGCAGTGCAATGGCTGCTCCAAGGCCTGTGCTCATCTCTTCCAAAGTTTGGTCCCCACGCGTGTCCCCCCCCACCAACAGACAGGGCCATGCCAGGGGAAAGGGCCCGCGGCATCTGGAACCCCCCACCCTGCCCCCGCCCCCGCCCGGTGCCGCAGTCTGCCCTTCCCTGGCTCCATGGGCCGGCAGGCGGGAGACCCCAGAAAGCGCAGGAGTGGGACCCGGAAGGCTGTGCATCAGGCACAGGGACGCTCGTGTGGCACATCGGAGTCAGCGAGACTCATGCGCTCCCATATTCACACGCGCAACGACTGACTTGGGCCCGCATTCTCATAGAGAAGGTGCCCACATGCCGAACCCCGTGACCTCGGGGGCGCACGGCCAGGCCCAGCCCCGCGCACAGGCTCTCGGTCTGCTCAGAGGCACGCCCACCGCCAGGCGCTTCAGGCCTCAGGACGTGGTCTGCAGTTTTTATACAGTTGCCAGCCCTTTCCTTATTCTTCTGCACCCTTTGCACTGTGTGATTTGGGGGTCGACCCGTTAAATTGCAACGGCAACCATCTACAGTTACCCTGTTACACCTATGAGTTTTTTTTCAAGTGTGCACGTCTTCAGGCGGCTAAGTCAGCAAGGCCAAGAGAAGTCATTCTTTGGTGTGTTTCTCAGTAATTAAAAAAATCAGTTGCCCTGATTGACGTGGCTCAGTGGATGGAGCGTCGGCCTATGACCCAACGGGTCACGGGTTCGATTCCCAGTCAGGGCACACACCTGGGTTGCCAACCAGGTCCCCAGCAGGGGGCGCACAAGAGGCAACCACACAGTGATGTTTCTCTTCCTCTTTCTCCCTCCCTTCCCCTCTCTCTAAAAATACATGAAATATTTTTTAAAAATCAGAGTTGTTTTGTTCGCTAGGTTCTCTGGGCAGAGAGAACATGACTTGGAGCACCGTCCAGAGTCCCACCTACAAGGGTGCACACTGGTCCACACTGGGGCTTCCATCCCCATCCATCATGATGTTAATTTTGAAAAAGGTTCAAAGGATGTGGACAACCTTTTCATAGGTTTTCGCAGGGCGAGATTCCACTTGAGCCAAGAGCTTACAAAATTTAGGCGTAAGCTCACCTGAGCTCAATCGTTTGTTTAATAAGGTGCACAGAGTTGTGAAGGGAAACCTTTAAAAGTGCATTAAGGAGAGTTCGCTTGGACTGAGAATAAAGCAGCTCATCATGGTGACCCCAAGCAAGAAGGCATATGAAGCTGTTTGTCCATGAATGGAGCCGTGACGCCTAATTCTAGAGACTGACTTTTATGCTATCACTTCCATTTGGGAATTAATAAAAACAGTTCCCAAAACCCTAGCAGCTGCTCCCACGGTATCTGTTTGAATGTTCAAGTTCAGCAAATAGCTGCCCTCAGCGAAGGCAAGGGTATTGTGCATGCCTGCATTTTCTTATGGTATCATTTTGTGCATGTCCTATCAGAAATATATATTCTGGAAACTGAAGCCGTAAGGACAAACATGCTCAGCTTTTAAAAACAGCTTTCAACCTTTCAAAAGGCTGTGTGTGTGTGTGTGCGCGCGCGCGCGCGCGAGTGTGTAAGCAATGTGCGTGCTACTTATCCAGGCTCCATAGCATATTCACTTCCATGAAGAAATACATTTTATCATCAACCACACGCGCGCGCGCACACACACACACACACACACACACACATCCAGTCAGTTGAACAGAAAGCCTGGGATTAAGCATACAGGGCCACGTTGTTACACATGCGTTAAAACAATACCTGCATCTGCACTGCTTTCTTCTTTTGGGATTATCACAGCCATCCTCTGGGATTATCCTGGCCCTTTTCACGGCATTTATTTTAATTGCCGTCAAAATGTAGGTTTAGAGTCTGCTCGGATATGCTCAATTTCTTCGGCGCTGTGCCCTGCGAGTTGGCACACGGAAACCCTGCAGCTTTGGCAGGACTGAGCGCCACACCCTGAGCTCATGAAGACCAAGCGCAGAAGAGGGCCCGGAGCGTGTGTCGAAGGAACGACGGAGAAGTATGCACGGATCACCCGGGCGCGTTCGCGAGAAAGAGCTTAGCACGTTGTTCCCTGAAATCCACTTGAACCCCATGGTCTGAGTTTGTGTGGAGGAGAAATGAACCTGCTGTTGACTTCAGTTTGACTTGAACAGATGAAACGCACCTCAGCCAGGGAGTACAGACACTCTTCCTATCTATGTGACCAAACCCAGAGGAAAATGCACGGTGCGCCCTGGTGACTTTATGGAAGAAACACACAAAACAACACTCTCACTCCCTCCCCTAAGTTAACCATGCTCTTCCTCAAAATTTACGTAGCTTATTAGTTTCTTTTTGCTGTTCTCTTTTTTTTCTTTTTTCAGCAGAGAATAAGAACTCCCCGGGAAGTGTGCTCTGGACCCCCACATCCTGAGATCTGGGGTCAGTATGTCTTCAGCGGCCCTAGCTGGGTGGCTCCGTGGGTTGGAGCATCATGCTGTGCACCAGAAAGGCTGTAGGCTCGATTCTTGCTCAGGGCGCATACCTAGGTTGCGGTCTGGATCCCCAGTCAGGGCATATATGGGAGACAACTCTCTCTCTCTCTCCCCCCGACCTTCTGTCTCTTCCTCTCTCCCTAAAATCAATCACCATACCCTTGGGTGAGGATTAAAACTATATAAATACACATCTGGGGTAGGACGCTGGAATCTCAACTTTGAAACGACACCAAGGAAGTGAACCAGGGACTGGTTTGAGAGATCATTGATTTAGAAAACATATACCTCATCGAAAATGGACCAGAAAGTGTGATTTCAGCAGCATCTATCACCTCACTTGGTGGAAAGTCCTTTTTTAGGGATGTGCATGGAAAAGGATGGAACATACCGATCTATTTCTTTGTGACCAAGTTGTCACCTTTCTTCCAATACATTTACTGGAGACACCCGTAGACTCATTGTTCAGGCATGCGGCTTGTCCTTTTAAAGGCTTCCAGCTGCGCTGGACTTGGATCCACTGTGAAGGAGGCAGGCATCGGTTTTCCGCGACAGGCCCCTCCTGGGAAAGCACAGTGAGAACTCGCTCTGAAACGGGAGGGTCCGCAGCCTCATTCGATGGCGTTCAGGGGTCTTGCATGGAATGCGTCCCAGCTCACTGGTCACAGGTCCCAGGGCACACTGAAGTGAGGACAGGGAGCTCACGGACGAGGTGCCGTTTCCTCTCAGGTGCCTTCATTTGGCGATGCAACCCCAGGCACCTCATCCCAGAAACTGCAGTTCCCTTCCCGAAAGGGAAACACGAGGAGATGAAGAAGGCGCCCTGCGAGGGCCTGGCCCAGGCTCACCGCCCCGCCGCGGGGCGGGGCGCCAGACTCCCACGTTCCTCTTTCATTAGCCCAGCTTTCCTCCTCCTCCGGACTCGAGGCCCCTGCTCAGCTTTGGGCCGCTGCGGCAGGGACCACGGAGGGAGCTGTCGAGAGAGAAAAGGGACGTGAAACGGGGAAGGAGGGATGCAGCTAGCCAGGCCGATGACTCTCAGAGGGCATCTCTTGTCATGTGATCTCAGGCGAGCACGGCGTGACCTCTCTGGGACCAGACCGGTCGGGTCTCCAGCAGCCCGTTGAACCATGGCACCAATGGAGAATTGAGCTTTTGGCATAAGTCACTGGATATACACTCTACTTCTCAGAAAAGAATGCCCGTGTCCATTTTCAATGATCTGTTTTCTTCTATGATGTTGTAATGTAGATATTTTATTTGGGGGGAATTTTAGCATACAACGTATTTTTCTCTTGAGCGAAGTTATAAAAATTTAGCGCAGTATATGCAGGTATAGAGGTATTATTTTTATGAATCGCCCCGATGGTTATTTACCAAGATTTTACTATGGCGTATTCGAAATATGTTTGCTATTACTTTTGTGAATGCAAACAAAAAAAAAAAATTTAAGGAAATTTTAAAACTTTTTTTCAAAAAGTTTTCAATTTTTGCAAAATATGCAAACTGCCAAAAAACAGCATTTCAAGCTATCACTTTTCAAGAATTTGTCTCCTTGCCCTTTCTTTCGCCCCCCCCCCCACCAGAGTCACCATTAATCCATCA